AGAACTGAGATATTCTGATCTGAATTAGAAAGAGAAGAAATAAATCTAAAAACTATTAACATAGTTATGCAATTTAATTTCAACTCAAGACTTTTTATTAAAAACTTAGGTAACTATTAGTTACTCAGCTTAGTTACAACTCAAGATTTTTTTTTTTTTTTTTTTTTTTTTACAACTCAAGATTTTTTAAGTCTGCATGAGACCCCAGAGTCCGTAGTAAATGAGCTCAGCCTTGCGTCTCTGTCCTCCTGAATGTGTGATGTGTTCGGCAAAACAGCACACGTCTAGAGAGATGATCTAGGTTAGATGAAAGCAAGCAAAGGTTGTTGGACATCAGGGTCAGTCACTACGAGAATTCGTAGAGTCTCGTCTCTGAACTCGGCAGCAGTGATCACAGCTCTATCTGAATCTTACCCTCTCGGTTTTCACTCCTGCCGGTTTCGGCTGGAACTGTTGCCAAGCCTGACCTCTAATCAAATGCATTCTCCTTAATCCAGGCAGACAAAAGATAGAAATGTTTTTGTATATCTTTTGCCTGAAATAAAAAAAAAAAAAAAGATAGGAGTGTTTCTAAAAGCACTGGGAGCGGGGTGGGGGAGAGCAAACAAACAAACAAACAAAACCTCTAGCCTTCGAAAACCAAGAACACGAAGAATCTTCTAATTCTCCTCCAAAATGCAAGAGCAGGGAAACGTATCTCCATGGAATTCAGATTCCTTAAGGCCCAGCCTCAGATGGGCTTGGTAGGTACAGTCTACCCAGGTACCGCGCAGGGGCTTGTCTGTTTCTGAGGAAGACTGGGGGCAGCTCCGCCTCTCTGCTGTGATGCTAAAGATCGTCTGACTCTCAGCCAGCTGCGAATTGCCCTGGCCCCACCTCCACCCCACTCTTTCTGGCCCTAGGCTGAATGATACTTCTACCCCGTGACTGCCCTTGAGTAACTTTGACAGCCAAGTTTCCAAAAGAGAAAAACATGTCCTAATACGGCCTCAAAGATTTAAGTTCTGCTCTCAGTGACTTGTCCATAAACAGCCCTCTTCCTTTCTTGGACGGCGGAATCCTCCGGGCAACTCACATCTGTGCTCTCTGCTTCCCGGATATGTTTTATCTGACGTGAGATCACCAAGCCTAGCATCTGGCCCTAGTCATTCTGAGAGTTAAGTGATGTAGCGAGAGGGTGTTGTCTCCTTGGGAATCTGGATACCTGCGTCCTCGTGTGACCGAGAGGTGCTTTTGCCGTCTCCCTCCTTCCAATCCATCGCCTTTCTTCTGGCGGGAGGCGAAGCGGGTTGTGAAATGGGCAGGCGCCCAGCCCTGGCGGGAGGTCGCCGCAGACATCAGCTCTCGGTGCTGTCCCAGGGTGTGTCTGCTGGCTGTTCTTCTCTGCCACTGTGCCTTAGCTGCACTTTGACTCTGCTTACTACAGACCCACAAGGGCAGAGAACAGTGATTCATGCGGTCGTATATCCCAGTGAGAGGAAGGGGGTTCTCCCTGTAGACCCCCTTGGGGTCTCTCTCCCGCCCCCATAAGCATGTATGAAGCCACGTTTGGTGCGCTCAGTACTGGAGTTACAGATGGGAAGAATTCCGCACACCCGCCCTCCAGGGGCTTTAATCTAGTGGAGGAGACCCACAGGAAAAGCTGTATGAATCAGGCCGGGCGCGGTGGCTCCCGCCTGTAATCCTAGCTCTCTGGGAGGCCGAGGCGGGCGGATTGCTTGAGCTCAGGAGTTCGAGACCAGCCTGAGCAAGAG